TATGTTGAACATAAAAGAAGATATTTTGAAGAATGCTGGTAATCAAACAGTTGATGGTCCCCATTGACTTCCATAGTATTTCTTTCCGTATATGGAAATCAGTGAAGACCAAAAACGGTTTGGTTCTTCAAAAGTCTTCAAAATACACTCCTGAACAAAATCTGAACAAAAACAAGTCTTTCTGTCTTTGAACGTGGCAGGATTGTTGAGCCGCACAAGCAAGGGTGCGCGCAATGCGCCATCGCTGCCGAGGTTAGACGCAGTAAGACATTTTACATTGCTTAAAAGATCCTGAGAGTTATGGGACAAAAAAGTCAAGTGGTAGAACCAAAAAAAATCACCAGCACTGCGTCGGAGGATCTGACGGGCTGTTCGTGAAGACACAAGCCGATCCTCGACCCAAATTAAGGCCCTTACTGATGCTGACTGCAGCCCAATAACCATAAGACAGCATCTGCGAGAGAAGGGCTTAAAGAACAGAAAACGTCTTCAAAGGCTATGTCTCCTCCCACGCCACAAACTTGCCCATTAGGAATCTGCAAGGGAGCACCAAACATGGGACATTGAAAGGTGGAAAAAAGTTTTATTATCCGACGAGAAAAATTTAACCTGGACAGTCCTGATGGCTTCCAACGTTACTGGCATAACAGGGAGATCCCACTTGAGATGTTTTCTACGCGGCACAGTGGAGGAGGCTCCATTATGATCTGGAGTGCTTTTTCCTTCAATGGGATAATGGAGCTTCAGGTTGTGCAGGGGCATCAAACGGCGGCTGGCTATGTGGACATGTTGCAGCGGGCATCCCTCTTGACTGAGGGACCTCGTCTGTGCGGTAATGACTGGGTCTTTCAACAGGACAACGCTGCAGTTCACAACCCCCTCTGATGAAGGACTTCTTCCAGGAGAATAACATCGCTCTTTTGGACCATCCTGCATGTTCCCCTGATCTTTTTTGGGTCTACCACTTGACTTTTTTGTCCCATAACTCTCAGGATCTTTTAAGAAATGAAAATGACTGTCTTACTGCGTCCAACCTCGGCAGCGATGGCGCGTTGCGCGCACCCTTGCTTGTGCGGCTCAACAATCCTGCCACGTTCAAAGACAGAAAGACTTTTTGCCTTTTCCATCAGGAGATCATGACAGTGTGGCTGCCTGAAGGACAATGACATGAAAGCCATATTTTTGCGCCGATTTAACTTTTTAAGGCTGTGGTCTTAAACTTTTGATCAACTGATGAACAGCCTGTTTGAGTTTAAATGCAGTTTTCAATAAATTGCCTATTCTCTATTTTTTGTCTCTTGCTCCTGTTTCTTCTTTTGGCAATTTGAAGCAGTACTTACAACCTGGTAACGATCCACCGGCACAAAATGCGAATACTTGTAATGTTTCCCCTGGTCTTAAGATTTTGTTCAGGAGTGTATCTTCTTTTGTGTTCAACATAAGAAAGAAAGATATACAGGTTTGGAACGACACGAGGGCGAGTAAATGATGACAGAATTTTCATTTTTGGGTGAACTTTTCCTTTAAATGATGTAATAAAAATACTGTGTATCATGAAATAATGTCAAGAAATATCTTTCTACTAGCGGACTGCACACAGAAAGAACATGGGTTTGATGCGACCAGTTTATACAATTCTCGAACAAATGACTCTTAAGAGTCAGTTCTTAAAAAAAAACAAAAAAAATATGACAAATAAAGTCTGATTTCTGACAGAATGACTCTCATTAGGTAGCTGTTTTAATGAATAACTAAAAATTAGATATCACTCTGACAAATCCTTTACTCAGCTGAATCTATCAGAGCAGTTACTGAATCACAGCATACTGAAGTAGCCTACAAGTTACTATTTTAAATGATGTTCACATCAAAATCATCTTTTTACCTTAATTCATGTTTCCATGTCTCATAATAAGTCTAACAGCTATATTTTTTGTCCATCTCAGGCTTTTTCTGCATACTTTTATACCTTTGACTTCCTCGGACTTGTCCCAAAAGCTCCACTGACCCGGGTTCTTTCCACTATTGATACTCAATGCAACAAAACCTGGACCACTGTGAGTCCACAATTACTATTACAAAACATTGTAATCTTACATTCTATAGTAAAACGCCTGGTGACGAGATGAGAAGTGATCAAGTGAATCACAAAACGATTACATGTATCCACCTTATTTTTCAACGCGGAAGCAAGCAGTTTTCTGTGAATGGGCGAGACTTCCGGCTCACTAGCCGCTGTAGGGATAAGAATATATGATAAGAATAATAACGTGCATTAAACTGTAAATCTGTTTGCACTTCATACCAGTGTGTTCATAATTAAGATTATACATTAAAATAATATGGTAAGACATACCAGTTTGCAATATCAAGCAGCAAAACAAGCGGTTTTGTACAGCTAAAAATAGCTGGAAGCGAATGACACCGAAACCAGACACATTAAATGTATAAATGGCCACGCCCACTCTTACGGGAAAAATAAGGTGGATAGTATATTTGATAATGCTGGTATATTTTAAATCCATGTTCATGACTTTTTTTGCTGCATTTTTTATGTAATTTCTTTCTGCAGCTTACCGCTGAAAATCCAACCATCAAGGCAAAATACCTCAAAGATTATTGTGCTTCTGCTCATTATATTATGACTATTCTCCTGAAAGGATACAAGTTCAATAACACCTGGGATCAAATCTCTTTTGAGAAACAGGTAAAGAACAGTTTAATCTCTTTAAATCCTTCCTTTACTGCAATGAAGCTGTTCAGTAATATGAATATATCAATTTCATGCATACAGATCAATCCCATCCTTATTAACAAATTGAATATGGATACTTAGTGATTCATAAATCGTTAGAGACTATAATTTAACCCCAGGTTACTTGTTTTGCCCAAGAGTACAGTGGAAGTAGCTCATAAACTGACATCATGTGCTCAACCTGACATAAATCAATATATCAGACGACCTCTGCTCCAGCAGTATGAGGAAACCTCTTACTTCTAGGAATCTTCCCGTATATGGCTTTTCTTAACTGCCCTGTCAGTATGATGTGGGGATTTGTACTCATATAAGATTGTATGATGGTTACAGGTAGCAGACACAGATGTTGGTTGGACATTGGGCTACATGCTGAACCTGACCAACATGATTCCTTCTGAACGTACCAGAGCGGTGACAGGAGTGCTGCACAGTCAATGGGCAGCTCAGATTTTCTTCATCGTATTTGCCCTCTTCCTCAGTCTGCTTATTATAGTCATCCTGTTTGTCCGTGATCTAAGCCACTGAGTTGTGTGTATACGTTAATATTTATTGCTTATATTTCAGACAACAGATATGAAGATTGATAAGCAACACTTTTGACTACTGTTTGACATATGATTTGAGATGAGACCTCACAAACAAGGAAATAATCTATGCATTTTGACATTATGATGACAAAATGAGATGGGATGTTCTTTGTTTTTATAACATTCTATACCATTTCTAGCTAAATGTAGCTTTTTGTGAGTAATTTAAGTAGTGTCTTGTTTTGAAGGCTGACTAGTACCTCAATAATTTAGTCTGTGCTAACTAATAATTCATGAAACTGAGTTACAGAGATTTTTCATTCATTCATGAACTCTTGAATTGTACGAGTATAGTTTGTTTTATTTGTTTGTATTCATTTTCACTTCCACTCAGCACTTAAAGCACTTAACAGACATTAAATAAATGTATAATTAATTATGTGTGAAACCATTATTGTATTTTGTACATATTTATAAAATACAGAAATGACATTCTTCTTAAGCATTACTCTTATTTTTTGCCTTTGCTTTTTACAAAGTGTTTGTACACTACCTTCAAACGTTTACGGTTGGTAAGACTTTTTTTATGTAAAATAAAATTATTTTTTTTAGTTTTATTTATTACTGTAAGGGGAAAGCTTAATTTATGAAAACCATTTTAAACCATTTTTTTCAGGATTACTTGATAAATAGAAAATTTTAAAAAATCACTTATTTATAACTGAATTTTTTGTATCGACATAGTCTTCATTGTCACTTTTGATCAATTTAGGGCATACTTGCTGAATAATAGTATTAATTTCTACAAAAAATATCTCACTAACCCAAAAGTTTGAATGGTCGTGCATGTTGTGTTTGTGGAAGTGTGTTTTCAACAGCCAGAGCCGATCCTCCCTATGAGCAAAATACGCAAGCTGCGTAGGGCCCCCGAAACACCAGGGGGCCCCCTTGCTCTCAAAGATGATTTAATTTTACACTGTAAAATTAATTCTGTAAAATGTACAGTAAAAAACCGACTTCTGTGGTTGCCGGAATTTTACCGTAAAAAATACGGTAGCAACATTTTAGGTTTTACAGTTTTAACTTAAATTTACAGTTAAATACCGTCACACAAACGCTAAATACCATCATGGTAACACACATGAAACTGAAATAATGCAATAAACATTCATTTAACAACATTCGGTGTAACACACAACCCTAATATACACAACTGATAAGAAAAAACTAAGAAGAAACATAGTTATTTCAACAAAAAACACATCAAATTTGAAATGTAACGCAGGGAATTCTGGGAATGTCAATTTACGGTTATTCGCTGTAAATTATACGGTCTGTTTCACTTCCAAAAACGGTATACTATGTTACATGTAATGTCCAATACAGTTTTTCACCGTATATAGTAGGGGAATTTACCGTTAACCATTTAACAGGTTTTTACTGTAGCATTTTTACAGTCTTTTACCGTTAAATTCACGGTAATTTTTTACAGTGTAGTTTCGTTTTTTAATCTGGCCAGCGGTTATGAAAACATGAATGATCATTTCTTTTAATGCGGTGTGCTGTCGCCTTTTCTATGTAAAAATCTGTCAAATCATGTAATGTGAATGTCGTACAGTCTTGCTCGAGACTAAAAAAATGAGTTGAAAGCATACCAAGCCGCGGAAGAGACACTGTTTCTCAAGCGCTTTCCGCAAGCGCGATTCGATACAGAGTGAAACACGGACAAATGCGTTTCATTCATTCGTTCATAACCACTCATACCCCACTCCACCAGTCAACAGCAACCAGATTTCTTCTGTGGTGGTTCTCTTCTCAATGTTGTGTGTTTCTCCTTCTGTGACTTGCACTGCACTAACATCCTAGTAGCAACAAGAAATGAGACTTTATGCATGGACAGAAAACACACATATACTGTATCTAACAAATAATAATTGGTGTGATGGGTTTTGTTAGTTTTGAGTCTTACTCTGCAAGACTTCTCATGGATTCTGACACATTCACCCCAGTTGCAGCACTGCACTCCATGAAATGTATGTTATACTCCTAATGAAGGGAAAATACAACCAAACTTTTAGTAGAACTAAACTTAAGCAAAACAATTAGACAGTGCTTTTGGGGTCACAATGAACTCTTACTCTGGCCAGATCTGCCCCTTCCTGAACCTGGACTTCACGCTTTACAGAATCATTTTTGTTTCCAAGCAACATCATGATGACATCATCAGGGGCCCTTTGCTGTGTAACATGGTCATAATACAATTTAGGGAAGGGGATGTTACCATATATTTTGACTAAAATATAATGAAAATGAAGAAATGAAAACATAAGCTACCCGAGCTTGAGAGATCCAATCTCGTACAGAAATAAAACTCTTTGAACATGTGACTTCATACATGAGCAGAAGCCCATCAGCCTTGTGGAACACTTGTGTGGTGATGCTATGAAACCTTATAAAGATTTTTTGGGTTAAATTACACACCAACAAACATCTTTTCCATCGTGTATTATTTTGTTCTGAGGTCTTACCTCTCTTGACCTGCTGTGTCCCATATTTGCAGTCTAACAGTTCTGTCAGGCAGCACAACAGTCTGTATACAGGTGTCAACACCTAGGTGCAAAAGAGTAATTACTATCTATAACACGCAAGTTTTTAAATATATAATATAAAATTTAACATGATATAGCTTTTTAAAAAACAAGTTATTACATACTGGTAAAAAATGTATAGCCTGAATCTGGTAAAAAATGTATAGTCTGAATGCACTGTGAGTCGCTTTGGATAAAAGCATCTGCTAAATGCATAAATTATTATTATTATTAATTAAATTATAAATGCACACATTTATACACTTGGAACTGATCATTATAATTAGTCTGTCTGTTGCTTTATTTTTTCTTTCTAAAAATAATTTCTATATAGTAAATATGTATCTTAACACTTTTTACACTATTATTCTAAGTTTGAGGTCAATAATTTTTTTAAATAAATTAATTTTAAGAAATTAATATTTTAATATTTTTATCTTTGAATATTTAAAGATGCATTAAATCGGTCAAAAGTAATAGTAAATACATTAATAAAGTTACAAAAAATCCTGAAAAAAAAATATTAAGCAGCACAACTGTTTTCAATATATATAATAATAAGAAATGTTTTTTGAGAATTAAATCAGCATATTAGAATAATTTCTAAAGGATCATGTGACACTCAAGACTGGAGTAATGACTTTGCCATCACAGGAAAAATTACATTTTAAATAAAGCATAGTAAACTAGAAAACAATTATTTGAAATTGTAATAATATTTTACAATATTACTTTTAATACTGTGCAGTACTTTTGATCAGAGCATAAGTGACTTTTCTCATAAACATAAAAAAAATCTTGCTGACCCAAATTTTTGAATGATAGTGTATAGCTGCTTTAGCGTACAAGACTGCCTCCATCGCAACACTCACCAATAGTGGAGCGGTAATCCTCAGTGAACTGGTCTTCATGGAAGCGTCTTATGAAGGAAGTCTTTCCCACACAGCTGTTTCCCACCATGACAACATTAAACTGAACTACTTCAGTATCTGAAACTATATGACAGAGTTTGTGTTTAGATGAGTATTAGATATTAAACTTTAAGGTACAATTACATGACGTTATTTTATCACTTTACTCACTCCTGTTCTTTAAATTTACTGTCTGCTTAGCTCCAGTGCTATCATGTTTTATGATTTGGTCCAAAGAAACGAGACCAGCACCAGTGCCTTTTGGAGCAGCTTCTTCATTTCTGGAGAAGAAAAAAAGAAAAAAGTTAATTATTTTCTTATAACAAAGACATAAAGAACTCTTATATAGCTCTGTGTCATACTTGGCTTCCATGTTCCTTTGCTCAGAAGCTGGTTGATTCTCTGGTTGTAAGGTGAGGCACGGATCACAAACCTTAACAAAACAAACATTTGTTAGTGATTTAAAGTAAATACAATTTCCATTAAAAGCTGAAGTACAAAATATAAGGAAATTTTCTAAACAAAGAGATACACACCGCTAAGTCATCACTGTGCAGCTTGTCCTTGACCTCAGAGCTGTCTGATTTATGATCTCCATCTTCTAAATCATTCCCAAAATCAGAATCAGCCAACCTACCAAGGCCTTGTTTGCCCTTATTAGCACGTCTGGACCCAAACTTCCTTTTAGTTGATGGAGACGTCTTTTCTTGGCTAACAGGGTTAGTGCTCTCTTCTAGCTGATTGCTACTTGTGTGTGCACTAGAGACATCGAGATACTCTTTATTCAGTTTGTTTTCAGTAATATTATGCACTACAGACACCTCAACTCTTTCAAGGTCCTTCTTTTCTTGCTTATTTGTCTTTGAGTTCTCATCTATCTCCCCATCCTCTTTGTCTTCATCCTCCCTTTCTGCTTTGAACTGCTGTCTGAGATTTTTGTGAGTTGAACCCATTTTTCTTCTTCGTCCTCCTGGTGAGTTGGGTTCACTGTGAGCCGATGGCATTGGCTGAAGAGATTTGATTTCTGAGTTTTCTGGCATATTGAGATCAGGAGCATTGGCTAAGCCATCTGGGTTTGGCTCTTTGACGATTAATTCCCAATCCCAACTTAATGAACTTTGAGACGTCTTATTTAATGCTCTCTCTATCTCACTGAGAAGTGAATCCTCTGGCTGATTGGAGTAGTCGTGAGTTGTCTGTTGTCTTACATCTTCTCTTACTAAGCTCATTTCAGAGTCCTGAGACATTTGCACATTTGTGTCTTCAATTTCTGTGTCCTCATATCCATCTCTTTTTCCTCGTATACCTCCTTCTCTGAGATTCTTCTGAGTCGAGCCCATCTTTCTTCTCTTCTCAATGGTAACAGTCTCTGACTGTGGATGTTTGGTAACATCAGCATTTTCTAATTGATTGTCACATATTTGAAGGGTATTTTCATGTGTTTCAGGTACTGTTGGTCTAAAACTGTGAAGATTATCATTTTCAACTTTTAAATCAGTTACACTAGCTAACATTTCTGAATTAAGATCTGTGGTACTGACTGAAGACACATCCTTGGACTGACTGATGCTTAATGCTTCTTCTAAATCATTCTCTGCTTTCTTAGTTTCTCTATCCTCTGCCACACCAAGTACATCTTCATTATCGGCCATATTTTTCCCATGCATTGCTCGGGGATTTCTCCGGGTTGTGCCCATCTTTCGCCTCTTTTCTTGGGTGGCAGGTATTTTTCGAGAGTTGTTTTCATGAACAACATCATCTTGAGTGGCTCTTAGTTCTTGTGTAGGAATAACCTCGTGTGTGTTTTCAGTTTGTGCAGGCTCTGACACAATCTGATGAACATCTTCGTGACTAATTGTCAAGACCAATTTGTCCTTTGTCCCCTCCTTGAGATTAATTGCCTCACTCAGACTATTACTGTCATTTCCAGTATTGTCCATCCCCTTTTCCTCACTCACCTCAGATAGGTCATGAATATTCGGAGAAACTTCCGTCAATCCATTTTCTGGTTCAAGGAGCATGTTTGAAGAAGCCACTGGATGAGAACATTCAAATGGGAAGTTTTGTTCAACGTCTTCATCAAATTCAGTTTTTCTTGCACTAGTTTCAAAATGTGGTTCTGTATCCTGTTCTTGTATCATTCCTTCACTATTTCCATCCATCTTTTTGGATTCTGCTATTCTTCCCTGCCCTTTGTTCCCTCTGAGCATCTTACGTGTCGACCCCATTTTTCGTTTTTGAACAACCGGATTCAAGTTTGGTTGATCTTCTCTGTGAGACTCTTTAGGAATGACACTTTGTTTAGGATCTAAGTATGTGTCGACATCTCCCAATGGAAGGTCTGAAACCATTTCAGCAGCAACATTTGAAGAACATTCAGATTCTATCAATAGTTCTGGATTTATGGTAGAGTTTGGATCATTTTGTTTTGAGTTTTCTGCCTGCACATCTGATTTACAAACAATATCCTGAATGTCATGGTCTTCTTTATCAGCAGATGAACTGAACAGTTGCTGATGTACAGGAGATCCTGTAATGGCTTCTTCAAGTGTTAATTTCTCCTCTGACTCTGTGGTCTCATCATCAACTGTTGTATTTTCAGTTTCTCCCTCTTTCTCTTCTTCAACCTCCTTGTCATTTACCATCCTCTTACCTCTCTTCCGAGTTGACCCAATTTTTCTCTTCTGCATAGACTTTTTGGAGACTGGATTCATTTCAACCACCTCTGTTGGAGGAACATCATTAGATGACACATGAATTTGGGTTTCTTCCATAAGAAGGGCATCAGACATTACCATATCAGAAAGACTATTACTGTCTCTCACAATATCTGCAGTTCTTTCTAGGAACTCTACTAAATATGAGCCAGAATCTTCCTGTGATGGACCAGTTTGTGTTTGAGATGCATCTGATCTTTGCTCTAGTTCCAAATCATCACATAGCACCTGCACTGACATGTCCAGTGTCTTCGTGGTCTTTCTCTCCTCATCTTCAACATCTCTTACATTCATAATTTCTTGTGTCACATTCTGATCAACCACGTTATCCCAGTTTTGAATTTCTGAGTGTGTTTCTGTGTCTTCCTCTTCTGACACTCCTTCACTATCTCCATTATTTTCCTTGGATTCTACTCTCACTTTTCTTTGTCCTTTGTTCCCTCTAAGAAGTCTACGAGTTGAGCCCATTTTTCGCTTATGCACATTAAGGTTCAATTTTGTGTGTACCTCCACTCCATGAAGATCTTCAGGAATGATGTTGGGAACACTTTGTTTGGAAATGATGTCTGTTTTTCCTGAAATTTCATTCTCAGCATTTTCAGATACCAATGTTTCCAGTTTTGCATCAGTGGAAGTGTCATTCTGAACAATATCTGACTCTGTAGTCATATTACTGTCCACTATAACTGCATCTCCAATAAACTCAACGTTTCTGTCTAAAGCACTAGCTGCACAGATGTTCTCTCCTGTTGCTTTTCCTTCAAATGCTGGCGAGTAAATTGTTTTGTTTTCTGAGTGTGATTCTGTGTCTCCCTCTGCTGGCACTATATCAACATCTCCAGTATTTTCCTGGGACTCTGCATGGATTTTTGTGAAAGTTTGTGATTCTGAAATGTCACAGATACTCACTGCAGTATATCTGGATTCATCTGGACTGGGTTTATCCTCCAAATTGAAGATTTCTTTTTCATCATGACCTTTTCTTAGTCCTTTATTCCCTTTGAGAGGTCTACGAGTTGAGCCCATTTTTCTCTTCTGAATAACTGGACTTGATTTTGAGTGTGTCTCTTCTCTGTGAGAATCTGCAGGAATGATGCTGATGTCACTTTGTTCAGGAATTGTGTTTGTTTCTCCTGAAACTTCTCTCTCAGCATTTTTAGATACTTTCAATGCTTCCATGTGTGCATCAGGAGAAGTTTGAAAAAAATCTGACTCAGTAGTCATATTACTCTCTACTGTAACTGTATCTCCAATAACTTCAACTTCTCTGATTAATGCCACACTAACGTCTTGGATGTTCTCTTCTGTTCCATCTGCTTCACTGGTTGCTAAGTCAAATGTTTTGTTCTGTGAGTCAATTTCTAATTGTAAGTCTTTGTCATCCTCTGCTGCCACTCTTTCAGCATCTCCAATATTTTCTTGAGACTCTACATGAATATTTGTGAGGGTTTGTGATTCTGTGATGTGACAGATACTTATTGCTGTGGATTCCTTAGACACTAAATCTGAAGTACATGATGACTGCAGGAGAGTGGATTCAGACCCTTTAACAGGATCAACATCATTCTTCTCACATATTTCCATCTCCTGCTTTTTAGCTCCATCTTTTAAACTTTGTAATGTAGATTCATCTGGACTGGGTTCATTCTCCAAACAAATTGTTTCTTTCTCTGCATTGCTCATACCTTCACTGTCAAGTGTCTCATTTTCATCATGATGTTCTATTTCTTTTCTTTGTCCTTTGTTCCCTCTGAGAGGTCTACGTGTTGAGCACATTTTTCGCTTGTGAACAATTAGACTTGATATTGAGTGTACCTCCTCTCCATGAGAATATTCAGGAATGATGTTGATGTCACTTTGCTCAGGAAATTTGTCTGTCTCTCTTGATCCTTCAGTGACATCCTCTTGCACAAGAAGCACAGAATCCATCACAGCAGAAACACTCACAGTATTTTTAGATAATTTCAATGCTTCCAGTTTTGCATCATTTAAAGTGTCACTCTGAAGCAAATCTGACTCTATAGTCATATTACTGTCCACTATAACCGTATCTACAGTAAACTCATCTTCTCTGACTAAAACACTAGCTTCACAGATGATATCTTCTGTTCTTTCTGCTTCAGATGTTAACTCAATCATTTTGTTTTCTGGTTGAATTTCTGATTGTGAACTTCTGAGTTCTAAATCTTCACTATCAGGATTTTCAGATACTTTCAACGTTTCCATGTTTGCATCAGAAATTTGATGAAAATCTGATTCAGTAGTCATATTACTGCCCACGGTATCTCCAATAACTTCAACTTCTCTGACTTCAACTTCTCCTTCAAATGCTGTTGAGTCAAACGTTTTGTTTTCTGAGTGTGATTCTGTGTCTCCCTCTGCTGGCACTATTTCAACATCTCCAGTATTTTCCTGGGACCCTGCATAGATTTTTGTGAAAGTTTGTGATTCTGAAATGTCACAGATACTCACTGCAGTATATCTGGATTCATCTGGACTGGGTTTATCCTCCAAATTGAAGATTTCTTTTTCATCATGACCTTTTCTTAGTCCTTTATTCCCTTTGAGAGGTCTACGAGTTGAGCCCATTTTTCTCTTCTGAATAACTGGACTTGATTTTGTGTGTGCCTCCTCTTCATGAGAATCTTCAGGAACGATGTTGATGTCACTTTGCTTGAGAATTGTTTCTCCTGAAACTTCTTGCTCAGCATTTTCAGATACTTCCAATGCTTCCATGTGTGCATCAGGAGTCATATTACTCTCCACTGTATTTCCAATAACTTTATTTTCTCTGACTAAAACACTAGCACCATTGATATTCTCTTCTGTTCCATCTGCTTCACTGTTTGTTGAGTCAAATGTTTTGTTCTGTGCTTCAACTTCTAAATGTAGGTCTGCATCTCCCACATCTAATGTCAGGACTGGTGCTGCATCCATCTCCTTAATTCCGTCTGTTCCTTCACTTCTCTCATTGCCTCTATCAAAAGCTACATTCTCTGATTCTACACTGAAAAGTATTTCTTCCTTTTCACGTTTCTCATTCACATTTTCATGCAAGTCATAGTCTTCTTTATCAGGAGATTGCATAAACAGTTGTTGTTGTGCGTGAGATCCTGTATCTGTTGCTGAGTCTTCAAAACTAAACATTTCCTCTGACTTTGAGGTCACATCATTAACTGCAGTATTCTCAGTCTCTTTTTTGTCTTTTCTAACCTCCTCATTTTCTAGCATCTTCCCAGCATCATCGTGTGTTTGACTGTGTGTTAGAGATATATTTGATGAATAATGCTCTTGTCCTTTATATAGCTCCTTATTTTCAGTTGAAACATCACACGGTTTCTTGTGTGAAATCCAAATGGTCTCTGTGCTTGTTTCTCCGTCTTTTTCATGATCTCTTACATCCATTATTATTTGTGTTACATTGTGATCTCTTACATCACCCTGGTCTGTCATTTCAAATGCATATTCTGATTCAGATCCTCTTTCAACACTCATATTCTCATTTTCTCTCGTTGCTAAAATGTGGGGATCTTCAACTTCTTCCGTAATAGACACTAAATTAGTCAGACTATCACATGTTACTGAAGCAACATCACAAACATTATTTTCTTGTTTCATTTCTATATGAATCTCTTGCCTTTCTTCAACAGCATCCCTCATCTCATGTGGTAAATTGGTCGTTGTGGGTTCAGCATGGCTAATGTTAGACATAGGCATATCAAAACTTCTACTCCCTCCCACTATATGTTGAACCATAGAACAATCATAGTTATTATTTAGAGTAGCTATGTCATGTTGGCTTAATGAAGATTCTTGATCATGCAACACAAGTTCCTCTAATTGTGGTTCCTCTTTCTGCTTTAGAACCTCCTTCTTGGATTCTGTGTTCACATCTCTAAAGTCGTAAGATGGGTTTGTATCTTTTCTTATATCAGACACATGTTGGCTGTTATCACTTAAATGACTTCCTGCTTCTTTTAAAACTTTGTTTAGAACATCTAAATCCTCAGTGTGTGAACCAAACTTAAAATCCAATGCCTCGTTCAGTAATGGAGTCCCATGGTGGCTAGATGTTTCAGGTAGGGGCTTTTCTGAATCAACAAGGGGAAAAGCAACTGATTGGTTCATAGTTTCAGTTCCAGCCGAAACATCAGGCTCTTTCAGCTCAGCTCTATCGGCCAATAGAGACTGACTTAAAAGCAAAGCTGATTCTGTGTGGGACGATGGATCAACTCTTGCCACATCATCCCATGTTTGTGCCATCTCTTCTGACATTTTCAACTTTGCTTCGCCCATGACTTTTGCTTTCCTTTCATTCTCTGTCATGTTTCGTGAATGTTCTTGCACACCTACATTTTCACTGTTTTGCCCTCTGAGAGGTCTGCGGGTTGAGCCCATCCTTCTTTTTTGTCCAGAGGTACTGGCTATTTGGGTTTCTTGGTGACTAAGTGTCTTTGGTTCATTAAACATGACTGAATCCTCCCGCAACAAATCACATTCAGCTACTGTGACAGGAATAGAATGGACAGATGGCCCCATTGCCTCGTCTATAGGCATATCTCTTACTACCTCATGTGAATGAGAGGTTATTTCTTTATGGTGGATTGTACCTTTTCCTTTATTTTCTGAAACTGCAAACATAGGAGTTGTTCCAGACTCCTTTCCAAAACCAGAACTTTTGGTCTGAAGGGATAAATCAGAAGGAAAACTTGATTGTTCTTCTTCTGTTAGAGAAGCATGTTGTTCCTTAGTGGTTGATGTGTTTGGTTGAGTTACATATTCTTCATCTAACTCTTCAGTGGTCCTCACGTCATCAAGTTTTCTCTCACCTTTAAACCTACCAGTACTCTTGCGAGTTGAACCCATTTTTCTTTCAGTCTCCATTAGTGAATCCTTGTGACCCCTTGCATGTGGAGGACATTCTAACGCAGATGTTTGTTGTTCAATGCTTGAGCTTGGTGGATGATCAAACTGGGTTGCATGGTAATCACTGGTGGTGTGAAATTCACCTCGCCCATCCTCAGACTCTAGAGTCTGCTGAAACCCATCATCATCATCATCATCTTTCTCAATATTTCTGTTAAGACCTTTAGGACCTCGTCGTGATGAACCAAGCCTCTGGTTCTTCTTGGATTTTCTGCCTGACATGGCTGTTCATGTTCATATGATGAGACAAATAATGGGGATAAGTCATTTCTAAACATCTTTGACACTTAGGAACATGATTAAAAAGGAAACTAGAGAGCATTAGTGATGCAACATTTATATGACTCATACTAACTGTCACGCATGTGCTCTCAAATCATCGATTCCACTTGTGATGATACATAATGACAGTGAAAATCAGATCACCCTAGCAAGCTGTTTTATATAGGCTACTAATATACTAGATAGATATAAGGTCAAGAGGTTTTATATATATATATATATATATATATATATATATATATATATATATAATGACCAGTCTTAAAGGGAAAAAAAATAGATGACTAACTTGTAAGACTCTAAACCTTTAATGCAACCGGCCTCTGAACACAATGTGAAAACAAGACATCTAAACAACATGACTTAAGTAATCCAATGTTAATATAAATAATCTGAGGATAAAACCCACATCATTTGCATGTAAAACTTTACATTTCCAAATGCAAAATGACAGAGCGTAAATGTAAGACGTGCCCCCTACAACTTATGACAGTAGGAAAGTACCATGATAAACTGATGTTACCTTCCGGTGCCCCTTTCAGGGATCCTTCCACTTCGCAGTATTGGGTGTTTTAGCAGAGCACAAAGCACAACAGTTTTAGGTGCCTATGTGTCTCTTCTAAAGGAGGCTGAGCTCATTTAGCTTCCTTTTCGCTGCTACCCTCAACTTCCTGTGTTGGTGACACAAATTGCACCGTAAGTAAAGTGTGAATTTGAAGTACATATTTCATGAAGAGAGCTGCTAATTGTTCTTGCTGTGTGAACGACATATGCAATTTTTTTTTATCTTTCCAATGTTGTGATAGCACAGTCTAAGCGCATGTTTGAACCATGAGTAAAATTCATTTTTTCTTTTTGAGTTTACAGTATCATACATTCGCATTTCTCAAACACGCCCAAAACAGCACAGCCCTCTGCTCGCCCTTTAATGCACATTTTAAAGCTTACTAATGCAACCCAATATGATATAATTTAAAACACAAAATACTATATGATAGACAAATGAACCAAAATAGGTTAATAGTAAGCATTTTATTTATTACTTTGAAATGCCTTTCTTCAAAAAAGCCGTTACAATAAGGTTTAACATTTGTTAACACATCATGAACGACTGTTGCAGCATTATAGCTTAGTTAATTCAACTTGAAATAATGCATTAGTACATGAAAATATTATCTACATCAAAATTGCTAGTTTATGATACCTAATATCAATACATACGAGAATGAATTGAACCTTACAGTAAAAGGGTTACCAAACTTTTTAATGCAAGTAACATGAACAACTAATCAGTGTGAAATGTAGAGAAAAGTCATACAGTGAATTCATAAGGAACTTCTTTTAATGGAAGTACAAACAAAAAAGTATACAAAATCGGTTTCAAATGACCATCTAACTCAGACATGAGTTATTCCAATCAGAACTTTTTTATTGCCCAAAGAGCATAAAATTACAATCAGGAATTTAGGCAGGATGAAATCATTGCTACCCATTAAGCACAGATATCTTAAGTAAAAAAGGATACTCAGAACACTATGGAGAAGATACGATTTAAAAAACTTTGGGGGCAAAAAACAAAAAAAAAACATCATGGTTTCCAATCATCCTAGTCTGTTGAGGAGGAGCACACAGACATGCTTTCTCTGACAAGGCTGGCCTTGAACATTTCTCACTTCCGACCATTGGAACGTGAACGACTGAAAAGAAATGACAAATTCCATGAGCATAACTAAATACTCCAGCTGTGCCATTACACAACTACTCACAAGTGTAAACCTACCTGCGTGATCTCGAGAAAGACCTTGAAGGTTTATGGTTTCTATCGCGGGACAAAGACCTCTCTCTTCTCCTCTCTCTGGAAAGGGACCTTTAAAAGCCAAGTAAACACGTATAAATATGTTATAGCTACCTCATTACTAAGGAGCTCTAAGATATGAGGCAGATATGAGGCAAAGTTACAGTTTATATTCATAAGAACAACGGAGTTGACATTAGTTGCAGAAGGGTTATAAAAACATTTAAGCAACTCACCTGCTCCGACTACGACTAAAGCTCCGCCTCCTAGGAGACCTATATGCAGATGCAAGAAATACTGACAAGTCAGGGGTCAATATGGCCAAAATAATATTCATGATGCATGAAGCGTCATGAAATAGTCATTGTTTTGGAGTAGATACCAATTGGCCTTCAATGAAGGTCTTATGAAGCCCAATATGGGTCAAACAATTTTCAAAACAAGTGCCTGTTCCAGATTCATTTGCCAAACCTTTGTGCATAGATCAAAAAAAGTTTCAGTATGAAAATTACTGAAGGGATGTAAATGTATCGTTTTGAAAAAAAAAAAAGGTCGTCTTATACTTATTAACATCATGAAAAAGGTTATATCTCAAAACCACCAAATAAACAAAATTCAATGCCATTAAGCGGGAGGAAAAGGCATTAACTTACTATTTTGTTTTCAACAAGCTAGTTATGATGCAGTTAAGCTGAGTGCTGGTCAGGAGGGCGTAATTTGCGGGGAGATTTTGCCAGATGTTAAACAGCTATACAGTAGGTGGCTGAAGATGTCAGTTAGATGAGGGCTGCTGAGGATATGTTGTCATGTAGACATTTGGGGAGGGGCATAAGACCCGTTGATTGGTTGTAAGTGTGGCGTGGCTGGTTTTGCCGATCAGGTTAACGTTGGAGGAGGTGAAGGAGCCTGAGGCACAAGCTCAGGAACCAAAGGGCTGGTGGCCATGCTTGGATCATGTGAGCTGATTGGTGTACGCTGGTCACATGATGCTGAAAGAGGGCTAGTTGACTGACTCAGAGGTAGATGAGTAGAGGCTTGGTGATGTCTCTGAAAGGGGGGGTGGGGTGGTCAGCTTCATTAATATAAATAGAAAAATGACATAAAACCCAAACAATGAGAAGATTCTTTGGAAATCCTTAAATACAATTCAAGTTAATGAATATCTCTGAGCAAAAACTCAATGCACTCATTGTTGGGTTAACCGATCCGAAGGCTGAAAACTGATCAGTGCAAGGAGAGCATGGGGAAGGTTTCGAACAGCTTGGCTGAATTTATGAAAAGATGCTGGTTTTGTCAGTCTCCACACCTAGGCTCATCACTCTGCCCAAAACTAAGCTGGTGGTGAAAGGGTTTTTAAGACATCTAGTCTCGTTTGAGAGCAGAAAAAGAAACCATACCGGCGTCTAGGGGGTGGGCTGCGGCGTCTATAATCATCACGTGGGCGTCGATTCCAAGAAGGGGGTGGTCCTCGATACCTTGAGCGTTTTTCACCACTGGACATTTCAACTTGCACTCGACAACCACACAGTGTTCTGAAACAGACAAACATGGGGTTATGAGAATAGTTTACAGAAAGCGTATGTCACATTTCTAGAGCATACAGTACAACCACAAAGTAAACAAATTAACAAACAGCTCTTGCTGTTGATGACACTGTTTTAAATGGCATATAAAACTGTTATTTTAATATAATTTATAAACTATTATAGCTTTTGAATACTTTGAATTACATTTTTATTTTTTGTTTTCATTATAATTTGCTACATTTTTATGTGTTTTTGCCATTAATTAGTTTTTGATTATAATGTCTATATAATGTTTTTTTTTTAATTTAATATTTTAACTAAATGAACATGAGAAATGTTGCCTTAGCAATTAGCTGAAATAAGTTGAAGTTTCTTTATATTTCATTGTATTTAAGTTCCTTTTTCATTTTATTTCAAGTAATATTATCATTGTTCTGTATTATTAGGTGTTGTATGCCTATCCCACCTCTTCTAGGACACTAAAATGGATAAAAAAAAAATGGATAGCTGAAATAAAATGTTTGTTTTTTTATTATTATTTAGATTAAACAATTTACAATCTTAGTTTACAATAATAACCCTTATACAACTATGTGCATTTTTGGATAGTTTCCATCAAAACCACAAGATGCAATTCTGCAAACCTTTGCTTAATCAGGATAATCTAATCTACAGGACAATAGCTGTTCCAGAGGACTACATTTAAACAGATGTTCTTACCTTCCATCAAGCTCCCTCACAGCATCGGTTGCATCTCTGGGGTCCTCAAACTCCACAAAAGCAAAGCCGGGAGGATTTCTTGCCACCCATACGCTCCTCAGGGGACCATAATAGCCAAATGCTCTCTCCAACTCAGTTTTATTACCACTGTTGCCCAAATTGCCAACATAGACCTTACAATCTAGCGGGCAGTCCCGGCTTAGGGAAGGGTCTGTAGGGGAAAAAACAGTTTAGTTTCAAGTATTATCATCACTCTGTATTTCCTATGTCTATCCCAACTCTTTTAGCAGACTAGAATGGATCATAGCTGGAATGGATGTTAAAAGAATGGAATAAAGACTCACCTCCCATATCTTCACCAATCCCAAACTCAGCTGCACACCTAAAAAGCTGCAAGAAATTAAACATAAGCACAGAGACTATGAATATGCAATTAAACTGGACGATAGAAGCCTATCTTGTCAGTCGAGTTATGTTTAAAAGCTGCAATACGTAACGTTAACGATCAAAACTGTTACTAAAGAGGCTGAAAATTGACTTTGGAAACAATGAAAACACTAGCATGCGACACTGAATTACTCAAAGGATTTATAACACACATTGAAAGCAGCTTTATAGGAAAAATACAAAAAATAAAAACGACAGTAAAACTATTTTTAACATTTAAAGTCTAATTAAACGTAATACGAACAGATTTGTTACACACTAAATGTATGTAATGTTACCAAGCTAACAGGCTAACCCGAGTCTTTACAGGCCTACACAAGTCAACCACACAAGAACAGACATATCAAACTGATTTAAATAAGCAAATTCGACTCCATTATAAGCTACATGCACATTATATAGTTATCAAATAATGTATGTTTATTTTTCTTACCGGTAAATCTGCTTTGTTTGCGTTAGCGAAATCAAAAAGGCGCCACTGCAGCTAAACAATGGGCCACTCGCGAGCAAATCTAAATGTAAAGCACTTCCGGTTATCATCAACAACACGGACGTCGAAAGAAAAGCTCTCACGCCTAAAAATATCGGAAGGGCGCTACATTTCTGCTCTGAAACACACCTAAGACAACGATATTTAAAGGCTGCAAATATTTTAATAGTTCACATCTCAATGTCTAAAGGATGAAATTTGACAAATAGGTTCAGCAGTTATAAATAACGCACCTTACCTTTTCGTTCCTTGTTTAATGAATGAACGTTCCCTTCTATCTCAGGTCTACTTCGTAGAATACTTAACATTGTTATCATTAGTTGTTAACATTAACAAATTAATTATATATTTGTATATCATAACATAACATAGGCTATATAGCTATGTAGGCTATAGGCCTACTACTTAGTATTTGTATATTTTTGTGGATTATTTTACATGTACAATGTATTTGATCAAAACCATCACAAATTATTTTGGAAACGCTAAAAAATAGAATAAAATACAACTACATCATTTAAAAAAAAAAAAAGTAAATTATTATTGTTATTTTGTATGTTACTTTTGGTGATGTAATATGTGCAACAAATATTATAACGTCTTTGATTAGCAAAATAAGGGGTCATAGAGGTGACAGAGCTTCAGCAACTCATTTAGGCTAAATCTTGGGGGCAATAGTTCAGCCCTTGTTTTGGATTAAGCAAACATCGGTGTTATGTAACACTCCTTGTATTCAAATAAAGATCATTACGCTGACTGGTTTTATTTTTGTCTGACTGGGCAGGTCAGTATGCTTACATCTTCATCACCCGTATCATACTCCAACTCTTCTGGGGATTTGTCTTTTGTATTCATTGTTGTTTTCTTATGTAATGTCTAAACAAAAAGAGCATCCCTTCGAGAAACCAATATATATTTTCCTCATTCTTATGTTTCATGTGTAGGCTATTTGTATGCAAGACAATGTGAATTTGTGTTACCACACATGGCACAGAGTGTTTTTTTCCGCCCAGATTAGTACTGCACATTCTGTTCTGTTTTGCTTCCTGATGACTGGTTAGCCTCCCATGAACCCGCCCTCTCACTCTCCATAAAAGCAAGATATACATACGCTCTGAAGCACACACACATACACACACTTTTTGTGGTTTGTGTGGCATTATCAACATTTTGATAAGTTACTTAGACTCACACACAATGAAATGAAACTGATACTAAATTACATGGACTTAATGGAAAGTATATTTTAATACAATTACTGCAACGTTCATACATCAATTAGATGATATTATACATTTTAGTGGCACTCAAACAAGACAAGATATAATCATAAGAACTTTACTTTCTAATATCTGTTAAATGTTATCCTTCTGAAGTTTGAAATGCAAACATACATTGTAGATGATAAATCAGGTTAGCTTTTATAAATCTTTGTGAAAACATTTAAACAGATTTAAGATTACATTTCAAAAATCTCGCATTGACTTACATTGATAGACCGTTCACAATTTTGACTGAATTGGGATTTATCTCATCTGATTTGCTTATATACATATTGTATTTAGCCTATAGTGCAAAACAGCAAGTGTCTTGGTTCCTGGAAGTATTTTTCCCATTAAAAGTGATGTAAGAGATTGTTTAGCATGCTGCAAATGTCCCTACTACCTGACAGATCACTGAAAAAGGTGTCCTGAGATGTCCTCTGTAAAAAGTTTTAAAAAAACAACATGACCGTCTAAAGCTATTGCTTATCCAGTCAGATGACTTTGAGGTGCTTTCTGCCAGACAGTTATTTGGTTTGGGTTTTCTGACATATCTTTGGAAGATAGGTTTTTTTTAGATGGAGGTTGCAATCTATCTTTGGAATAGCATACTTACACTACGGGTCAAAATTTTGTAATTATTAAGATTTTCATGTTTTGAAATACATCTCTTATGCTCACCAAGTCTGCATTTATTTTTATAAAAAATATAGTAAAACAGTAATATTGTGAATGTTTTTTTTTTGTATTTAAAACAACTGTTTTCCATTTTATTTTATTTTAACTGAATTTTTAGCAGCTATTACTTCAGTCTTCAGTGTCAGATGATTTAAAATATATTAAAACAGAAACCAGTTCTTTTAAATTGTAATAATATTTCACAATAATACTGTTTTACTGTATTTTTGATCAAATAAATGCAGCTTTGCTATGCATAAGAAACGTCTCAGGTTACTTTTGTAACCATGGTTCCCTGAGTAGGGAACGAGACACTGCGTCCTCTAGGGGTCGCTATGGGGAACGCCTCGTCGTGACCCGTGTCTGAAGCATACATTGAAAAAACACTAACTCGTTGGCCGGCGACAGCCATGACGTCACTACCGGTGCGACTATAGTATAAATAGGCGCCGGGAGCACACATCATTCACTTCTTCGTCTGAAGCTTGCGTCCGCAGCATGGCAAGAAACCTAGAGGATG